ATTGAATTTCTTCCCCTCCACCGCCCCCATCAGATGTAACTAAACCTAAAGACACACATTTTTTTTTTTCCAGAGAGTCATGGCCAAACAAACGAAGCCTTTACTTTCACTTTGTCAAGATACTAAAAAAGCATCGGTGATTTACACGCTTCGATCCTTTGATCAGGTAAACTTGACTTTCGACTATTCAGAATCAGCCATGACGAGATACGTGACAAAAAAGATAGGGTGAAAGTTTCGTAAAAAACTCAACTATTCCTTAAAAAACTCAGCTATTCCTTAAAAAAGTCGAGATTTTTTTTCTCGTAAAAGGGTATCGTTTCTTTTCTCTTCGCTGTTGGTATCGAGAGACAGAATAGAACAAAAAGAAACAGACAAAAAACGAAAGTGTTTGAAAAAAGAAAAAAGGAAAAAGAAAGTTAGGAAGTTTCCTTGGAGCATCCTGTTGTAGGCCGTTTATACGAGTTTTGGTCTCTTGTTAAAAAAGCAGGAAAGTGAAAATTATATTTCGTAAGGTGTAATAATAAAATAAATATAATGAAAATAGACACAAAAATAAAATAGCGATCTCGTGTCCGATGAAATACGAGAGAGAAAGAGTACTTTTAAGTGGAACGACCCCTAAGCTATTTTGTAATGTTATCGACGAAACTCGAGATGCAGCTGCACGTGTCATTGCGCCATTCCTACGAGTGCCCTATACAAATGTCCACGATACTTCTCTCTTGACCGTTTGCATATATGCATATTATCGTTATGCAGGTAAAGTACATCGGTTGCATACTTATGTGAACATCTCGTAGAAACTTTTTCGTGGATTCTGTCGTCGCGAACGGGACGTGCCTCGAAGTGAAACGATTCCCTGTTAGACTTACCATGACCCTGAGAAACATTGCGACATACACTTATACATTTCGCGTTTAGATAATAGTTAATGTTAAATATCAAATTAATTTTATTTAATTTCGTGTACATAAGCCTTAATTCTTTTTCCTTATTATTTTCATTCTTTTTTTTAATCAATCTAATTTAGAATATATTAGATATATATTTTTAAAAATAAAAACATATTAGAGAAATATATTTTTGAACGTTGCTATTATGACGATGAGTAAAATTAAAACAGCAAATATAAAACAAGTAAAAAGAAAAAGAAAACATAATAATGAAATTCAATTTACTTTTTTCTCATCATCGTAATCTAATAGAATCATTCAAAAATTTGGATTTTAGTAAGAAAAGGATAAAAATGCAGCAACCGTCGGCAAAGATAGTAAAGATATTCAGGTCGAATAGGTAGCGCTTCATTAAATTTGCACTTACGTCCATTAATATCGAATTTCGGGAATTACAGGAGCAAGCACAGGCTCCAGTTCCGTTCGTATTGGAGCACGAATGGGAAGCGATAAAATAAGTTGGGGCCCAGCGAGATCGGTTGGGCACGCGATTCTCAACGATAGCAGGCTGCCTACGTAGAGAGGATGCTGCGTTGAAAAGCCCGGTTTAAGGTAGAGGAGATAAAAGTAAGGCGGCCTTTGCGAGGAGGTGCAGGTAAGTGTAAACGTACGGTGACGTTTAGAATCGACCGGTCGTCCTGGGGATTTGACTGGTATGATGCTTTCGGCACGCGACAAAACGGGGTACGCGCTGCGCCGTATGACCATAAAATAAACGTTTGGGGTGGCGCAGGCGGAGGCCAAAGCTAGCAGCGCATAAACACTTATATAACGGCAATTAAACTGCTTTTAAGGCCCATAAAACTGCAGTTTCAATAATCTCTGTGACAACACGATTCTCTCTCTCTCTCTCTTTCTCTTTCTATCTATCTCTTTCTCTCACTTTATTTCTCACTCATACAAAAACATTCACACTTTCTCTTTTTCTCTGTTTTTCTTTCTGACCTGCCTTTTCTTCCATACCCTTCGTATCTCTTCACGATTCCATTCCCCGATCCTTTTCACCTCTCCCTTATACCCCTTTTTCACCCTTCCTCTTCGTCCTTCGAAATACTCAATAATTTTCTCCATGAGTTAGATCAAGCTAACGTCGTTTCAGGTCGAACGGTTTTTATTCTTTTGAAAGGAACGGTGAAGAGAATGAAACCTTAAAAAAAAGGATAAAAGAAAAGGGAAAAAACGCGTAGGAAGAAAGTCGAAGTAATGTTCGGGTAGAACAGAGGAAAAAGGCGTCGACGTTCGAAACGATCACAAAACTCGTTTTCATGAGTTCAGGATTGTCGTAGTTTTCCGAGAGGGTAAAACAGGGTTGCTGGTCACGGGGTGTTCACGCGATAGTAACGAAACGCGTACGCCTAGTTGGATTTCGGTGTGTACAGAGAAGGTTAGCGCGAGATAATGTATAATTTATAATCAGACCGAAGCTGCGTCGTTGTACGAGCTGAATCCTCCGCCCCGAGAGCCGGCAACCCCTCATTAGCATTCGATGATGGCTGCCGCGTCCTGCAGCGTCGGTATTATCCCATTTCATCGTTCCTGCTTGTTCCTCCCCTACCTGGACCTCTTCTCCACCTTTCCCATCCTCCACCAATGCTACCCCTTCTTTCTCTTTTCCTCCACCATAGTCACTCTTAGCGCCGTCGCTTCAACTACGTTTCTCCCTCTTTATCTTTCTTACTCTCCTTTCTTTCTTGCTTTCTTTCTGCATCGAAGGCGCCATCGAATATTCCCTCAAAAAGTATGACACCTATTGCAATTTCGTTCGAAGTACGCTTCGTGGGACGAATTCCGGATGGATGGCCCATCTTTCCCAGTTCGTACGTGCGCCCGAAGGAGAAAACTTTTCCTCCGGTTATAACTTGCCATATCAATGATATATCTACTACAATTTCTCGAGGCCGGTTAGAAAATTGTTTCTTCACGACGACGGATCGACATGTGGTCGATAATTATGACCACTAGGGTTAAGGTAGGTATACATTTATCGAATGTTATAAATATATATGTATTCTGTTTTTGTTGTTGATATATCTTTATATATATTTGTTTATTGTAAATTTGAAAGATTTGAGAGGGGAAGACATTTACATGATTAGTATTAACGAAGAGTAAAAGAGAGGAAGAAGGATTAATTGAAGTATTTTAAAAGTGGCAAATCTGAAAAATTCTCAAGAGGCCGTAATGTAATAATCGGTGTAATTCGATTACATTCTTTCAACGACTATAAAGAAGTCAGATTGTAGAGTTTTCGCATTGCGGCCTTGTTGGAACGACTAACGAAGATCGGGTTCGCTCCATAAAAGTGTAAAGGATGATAGGTAATGATTTTATGAGCACGATCTACGCCCACTCCTCGTCACGCCGTCATCGTTTCCCTCTACTTCTTTCCTCTCTTTAACAGTCTACTCGGCCCTAAGCTTGGCTCGAGTAATATAAACGCATCGTTGAAAGTGAGCGAAACGGGCTCGTGAGATTTCCACTTAACAATTTTTTCACTCTTCCTTCATAAACGTTTTATGTTGGTAAGTAAGTAAGTTACGTGAAAAATACGTTTGTTTTCTCGAGAATAATAAATAATTCATATTATTGATCTAGGACATCTATCTTAACTTTCTAAGAAACTTAAAATTATCTATCTAATTTTATTCATTATAATAAAAATGTGTATGAACAAATTCTATTACGATAATAATATTTAGCAATTCATCATTAAAGATATTTCTTTAGGAGTTATCATAATCTTTGAAAAAGAAGAGATATTGCGAATTCAGCAGAACGTATATGCATGCTATGCATACATGCTATACATACTTACATACTATAGATACTTACATATGTGCATATATAACTCGGCCGGTGTTAGCTTTAGTGATCTTGTAAATATTATCGAATAGGAAAGAAAAATATTAGCTAAGCCTTTCTCCTCCGACAGAAACGATAGGCTTGACCATGGATTCAGAATCCGGGAGTACGAGGTCCGTTTGAAATTATTAACCGGTGAGCGTAAACAAACCGAGATAATAAAATAAAAAGTGTTTGAAGTTTTAATTTTATCTAATCGCTATTTACTACGCCATTGTATGGCCGTAAGTGGCTCTATAAAAGATAGGCGCCGGATTATTTGCCAGCAACATTATCACAGTGACGACAGGTGTAGTTGGCCGTATACATGTCCTTCTTGCATGCACAAGTATCATAAATGAATAGGATACAACTTCGCGCGTGCGGCCGGTAGTACGACTCACGTGAACGTTCCCAAACCATGACCTTGCTCTTGACGCGTTCAAAAGATCCCACATATATTACGTAGTAGTTACGTAGGCGAGCCTTTTCATTTCTCTAAAGATTAGACAATGCAAATGGTTACTAAGTACGTAAATGTAAACTTGTTAGTATTCTTCGTGAGTTTCATAAATTTCGATTAATTTGCATTTGAAAAACTATTCTAATAAATACGTTGAACATAGTTTGATAATTAATAACCATAACTTTATATCAATAGATGTAGTAATAATTTTTAATTGCTAACTAGATAGGGGCATTGTATGCTAAAAACACTGTCGTCGTCGCGTCGTTGAACTTTGAACTAAAAGAAAAAGATTTTTTGTAATTTAAGCTTGGAAAATATACACGAGATAGAGGGTAAGTCCCTGTGAATAGAAATCAGGGAAGAAAAATATGCTTACCATATGTAACTGTATGAGGGCGTCCTGCGCAAGGAAGAGAAATCCTTATACGCGACTTCTCGTAAGCTTTCCCCTAATAACGATATCGTTTGAGAACCCTTTTGTCGCGTATTTCCGACGTATGTATATATGCACATAAGTATGTATGTAGTATAGGTAAGGAGGTACGTAGACATAGTATGTGTATACGTAAGAATACTATGTATTATTTTATTGAAACCCGGTAGCTCTTGCAAATATATTTTTAGCGGAATCTCCTCGGTCGTATAACGTACTACGTTACGATTCTAATTAACGAGAGAAATGCGGAATAAATATGAGCGATCTTAAGATAAAAAGAGGAAGGAACTTTACTCACCACATACGACTCTGTCAAAGGGACTCATCCAATCTGCAAAACAACAAAAATATCATTATAGAGACGTACTCGAAAGTCGTGAGCATCCGCTGATTAAAAGACTCGACATCCTTGTAAATTATGTTACGATATTTTCATCGGGCGACAACGTTCCCAGAACATTCTGCGAGTGTCGTTTTCGAATAAGAAAGAGAAAGAGAAAGAGAAAGAGAAAGAGAAAAAGATAAAGATAAACGAAGCTAAAGCAAGTCAAGGTTTCTTTATTCTTAAAAAGAGAAAGAAAGAGAGAGAAAGATATTCACGTTCGTCGAACTTTTTAGCGGATGCTCGCGTTCATAAGACACAAATGTAAGTATATAAGTAAATAGATATATACAACGTTGAGAGTTAAGAGACTTAAGCCGACAGAGAGATGCAAGCGTAAGAGAAAGAGGAATAAAGTGAGAGAGAGAGAGAGAGAGAGAGAGAGAGAAGAATAGGAAAAGGGAAAGGTGGGACAGAAGGGGGCTTTCGACGTCTCATATGTTTTGCTGCTCCAACAAGATGCAATTAGAAAGTTAGGAAACTCTTAGCAGTGAGACGCACAAAGCTCGCAATAATTTGAGGTGGCGGGGGGGGGGAAGGATTAAAGGAAGGATCGGCATTGCTAAAGCACATCTCCCGTAATCCTTTTTGTCTCCCGATTCAATTTAAGCGGCACCGGATTACGCCCCCGGCGCGACCACGATTACGATGACGACATTTTTTTCCGCGCATTCCTTTCTTTCTCTCTTATTGTTATCTTTTTCGTTCTATATCTCTACATTATGGCAATTAAAATTCTATGAAATTATAGTTGATTATTTTGTATAATCTATATTGAATCTAATTGATCAGGTCATAATAATCTGATTTTTTGCAATTATTTTTTGTTTTTGAATAAAGATGAATATTGAAAAGAATTTTTTATATGATAAGGTTATTTATAACCCACATATATATTGACAGATGGAAATATTGCATTTAATTTAATTACGGAAACAATTAAAAAAAAAAAAAAAAGAATACTGATCACAAAATTTGTATACCAATGAGTTTAAAACGGAAATAACTTTTATTCATATAGTATGTTTATTCATTTAAATGTTAAGCATGATACTTATATACAATTACTAGAAGAAATATTAATTTATTAATATTTTTTTGTCACTGAATTTATTATCAACAAGTTTACATTCGGTAATCAAGTAATCATCATTATAGCTGGTGATCTTTAAATGTTTGGCACGAAATGAATACTCAGACGAATATATTCGATGATTGGACGGTCAATTGGCAAGACAAAATTCAAAAGATTAACATCCAATCGTTACGCTATTTTAAAACAGCGACAGGAAACAAACTCTGTCTAATAATTTATATACCCTACGATTACATCTCAATTGAAGTATATTTAAAGGTAGGCAGATACCGTTTTAATTACTCTTTACCTTATATTATTACCATTTGTCTCTTTATGAAGAAAAATATGAAAATAATTTGATATTTGTGAAAGTTGTATAATTTTGGAATATTAATGAATCTTACGAAATTCATGACTTAATGAACACGCGTTGCATTATCGCATTTGCAAATCTAAGTTATAAATTTGATAATTTTAAGGAGAAGAAATTTATCCATAGCTTAATGAATATTCAAAAATATAATAACAACAATATTCGACTTCAGGATCGATTGAATTAAGTAAAACAGTGAAATATTCTAAACAGTTAAAATGTTTATCTGTTAAGAGAATGTTCAAGGAACAATGATAGATAAGAAATAAGAAAAGACATATTTTTTGCACGAGTTTACAAAGGTGCACGCTTGAGTAACATTAGCGACGCAAAAACACGACATCGATACTTTGTTCGAGCTAATAAATTAACGAAGAAGTATCGTCGAAGGTGGTACACGGATAATGCATTATGTACGACACGAACAGAATAAGTTTCTCGTTAAACAATAGGAGTTATCGCCTCGGCGTGAGCTAGAATTTACCAAGTTTCATTATAGAAAAGAAAAAAACAGAAGTGTAGAGCAAGGCAAAGCTATCTTTGAAACGTGCAACATCGTGTCACGAGGTAGACACGGATAATATTTTATTTTGATTACGATATTATACATTTGAAAAATTAATTAGTCAAGATTGTAAAAGAGTAAATTTGTAAACATAGTAGAAGATAGAAAATCTAAGGATAAAAAAAGGTAAGGTACTCACCCGTGATGGACATCCAGGGATAGCGAGGAATGTCCGAAATACCAGGCTGACCGGTGGTAGGCTGCTGGCAGGAGGTGAGAGGGTCGACAACAGCCGAGGCCGCGGCAGCCTGGTGATAGAATTGTGCCGCCGCGGCCATAGATGCGGATGCGGCTGAGACGGCAGAGGAAGCTGAGGCGGAAGAGACGAGGCTACCAGGAGTAGCACCGTTTTGATGATGATGGCCGAGGGTGTAGTTGACCATCGGGTCAGCCGATGTGGGTGCGACATTGCCAGCAAGGTTGGCGGTATATCGGCAAGATTTGTCACCTGCTGTCGCAGCATCGACGGCCGCTGCCGCGGCGAGGGCAGCGCTCGAGGCTGCGGCCGCGCTCGAACCGAACCCAGGTACCATGCTGGAGGTCGCACCGAACGCGGCCGCCGCGACCGCTTGCTGTTGCTGGTGATGATGGTGCGCGGCTGCTGCCGAAACGTAAGGATACATGCTTGATGTGGTGCGGGCCGCCGGCGAGGTCGAGGCCGAACTACCCGAGTGTTGAGGGCTCGAGCCCGTCGGACTCGGCGAATTGTGTTGCTGTGCGTAATTTACTGCCGCGGCCGCGACCGCAGCCGCGGATAGGCTTGATTCTAAGCTCGCAGCCGCGCTCGCCGGACTGCTCGCAGCGGTACACGCCTGGATCGTACCGGGATTCGTGCTAGTGAACAGTTGTTGGTGATGAAACTGGTGGTGATACTTTGGTAGCATACTATCGATTATGAATTTCGAACTCATATCGCCCGGCCGATGAGCGATCGAGCCCTATCGCCGCGATCCCTCCTCGTCCGGCGTCGGCCTTCGCTCGGACGTCAACCGACGTCCTCAGCGACGTCCTCAACGCCGGCAACCGCGTGCCGTCCTCCTCGCCGGCGGCTCCCTCCTCATTGCTTTTACTTCTTTAATCTTCCTCTTCCTCTTATTTATTCTCCTTCACTCTTTTATTCTATTAAATATGCTTCTTTATCTTCTTCTTCTTCTTCTTCTCTTCCCTCTAAGACTATCCTTCACATCTACCTATCGCCACTTAGCCAAAAAGCCAACACATTTCTTTTCCTTGTCACAAGTATTAGACTATAATTAGATAATAAAAATCGCGATTAGCGCGCGCGAGTAAAGATCGATCACGACTATTGCGAACCGATCATCATCTCACCGTCGATCCATTCTCGAGATATTAACTAACTCGTTTGCGCGCGCGTTCACTCTTCTCGTTCACGAAATTGGCAGGCCCGATGACAATGACAATCGCGGCGACGACGACGACGACGACGACGACGACGACGGCAGCGACGGCAGCGACGGTAGCGACGATGGCAGCCAGCAGCCGATGGAACGGCGCACCACTGCGAGGAGAGAGAGAAGAGAAGAGCCGTGGCCCCTCTGTCAGGTGTTAGAAGCCGTTTCTTGCGTACTTCTCGGATAGTCGACGAATCCTTTATGGGCCATGCATGAAGGTACTATAGCCCCCTATACCGAACGCCGCGTACTACAACCCACGGCCAGCTAAATGTAACCCCTTACAATAATGGCGCCGCTTGTCTCTCCGCGTTCTGCCCCCCTCTCTTCGACGGTCGAGCGTGGAGCGCCGGCTGCCGGGGGCACCAGCTGGTAAACACTGCCGGCCAATCGACGCGCGCTCTTTACCGAGCCCCGCCAATCCGGCGCAGGCTAGGCGCGCCAAGATGAATGGCTCTTTCTCTCTCTTTCTCTTCTCTTTCTATCTCTTTCTCATTTTATCTCCTTCTACCACGTTTTCTCTTTCTCACTTGCTCCTTCTTGTAGCAAGGTTCGCCTCTCTCCGATCTTCTCTCTGGCTTTTTATTTGTGAGTGTGTCTATGTATGTTTCTTCGTCTATCTCTTCACGTAAGTATATATGAATATGTGGATATGTGTACAAGAACATACATGTGTGTGTATGTTTCGAGAGAGAGCTTATACCTTGCACGATCTGCTCAGCCGACGGTCCGCTCCTTTCGACGAGCGACTACTCTGCGAGTCGCTCGTTGCCTCCCTCAGAGATCTCTCTTTCTCTTTCTTTTTCTCTTTCTCTTTCTTTCTCCATCTCTCTTTCTCTTTCTCTCTATGTGTCTATCTCTCTGAGATCGTCTTTCTCGCTTTTGTATGTTGCGAAGCGTAATCGCGAATCGTCGGTGTAGCAACTCCATCATTTCTTCCTCTCTCCTCCGTATTGAGAAATCGTTCGTTTTCTTCTGCATCCTATCTATCGACTACTTTAAACTCGTTGAAACTCTTCATACCTCGCGATAGTGGAACGTTCGAACGTATCTCTCGGAAAAATAATTGCTTTTCGTTTCTTAAAGATTAATCCTATCGGTTGTTTTTGCCGACGGAGAGACCAACGAATAATAGTATCAAATTCGTTCAGCATAACTAGTAATACTTATGTACCCATTAGATATTCTTATGTGAAAGGTTAGGTTCATCCAGGTATCTTGGTGGTCTTTGAGAGAAAAGTGGAAAGTACGAGGTAATGGAGAAGAAAGGGGCGTGCGGTAAAAGGAAAAGAATAAGGGAGAGGGTACGCATTCGGAGGGTTGAAAGACACAAGGGCGGGAAAAGTCTTAGCCGGTTTTGACGTTCCTTACGATGGACAGCCCATTTTACACACCCCATTTTCTAGATAAATTTCAAGTATCCAGACTTTCAGCCTACCGACCGATAGATGGCTGGCTGGCTAGCTGTTCTTTTTCGACGGCGTCAATCCACCGAGACAAATTATCATAAAAATCGTTACAACGCCAACTTAGCGATGCTTTATCGTTGCTATTCACGATACCAGTCCTAAGACTAGTCTTAGAAACGCGATCGTTATGTTAAGAAATTCCTAGGTAAATAGGTTCTGGTTACTTACCCTTGTCTAACCGGATCCATCGAATCTGAAACAAAATAACTGACGTTAATATTTCTAATCTGCTTCTAATCATCTTTTGTGGAGGAAAAAAGAAATATTTTATTCTACGATTAAATGTAAGGAACATGTAAGTACTTAATTAATAAAATTATTATTCTTTATTAAAGTCTAAATAAAAATATAATATTTAAAAGTATGTTGATTAGTAAGTTGATTGATATAATTAATATTAGATTGTAGATATTTTAATACTTCTTCTCGTACAACGATAATAAGTTTTTTTTTTTTTTTTATGTAAAATCGAAGTAACACATGATTATTCAAATTATATTTAACATTTTTTTTTAATATGTACAAAATCTGTAGAATTACTGAAAACACTTTTTTCATTGTAGAATACTTATGATACTAAATTTTTCAGTAGGGAAATTTAAAAAAGATAACTCCTTTCTCTTCTTTCATCTCACCCAGGCTCCACACACATGCATATATAAATATTTTTATTGGTAAATTTTCATGAATGAATATTTGCTAAAGCAATCTGTTCACATATACCTATCTCAAACAAATAAATATTCCCATTCAGTCAAGAAGAACTCAGATAAAACAATTGTTTGAGCATTTTAATGTATGTTAATTTATCAACTCTATATGAAAAATATTCATATTCGTTTAAATATAATATTTATTAATAAACACGTACTTTTAATACACATATGCGAAAAAACTCAAAAATATTAATTTTTCGTACGTAGAAAACGCATGTGTAGAGCAAACATTTCTGCTTTAACTCCACGTGTACGTTCTTAAATTCTAACGTAAATCACTTTTTACAAACACATGATAGAAATTCATTCAAATTATCCATCAAATATTTTTGATGTTTTTGAATGATCTCTATTTAAAAAAAAAATATATTCGCTAACTTAAAGCCACACGTAATCGTGTTAAAAGATGCAAATAAACAAAATAACGCATAATATAATTCTGAATAAAATTAATATTTTATTTGTCATAGTAATAGTTCATTAAAATGTATAAATATTAAAATAAAATATGTTTAATCAAAATAATCAAATGTTTTTTCGATGAACAATTTTTTGTAATTAAATGTAACCACAAAGGATTGAAGAATATTTGCATAATTTTGTTGTTATACATTAAACATTAAATAATAAAAATTATTGATATATTTTATAGGATTGTTAAAAAAAAAAAACTTGATTTCCATATATGAAGATTTGAATGGAAGCTTTGGAGAGAAGAAACGATGAACTACATTCAGAAAAGGCGTGGTCCTCAGGTACCAACGAGACAACAGAGAGAAGGGGAAGAATTTTTTTCCAAATATGAGAGAAGAAGTATCCTCTGTCTGAAAATTTAATCTACGAAGACGAATGTTTTGTATTTTTTTGACTTTTCTAGGCACCGCGGGAAATTGTATCCATCCTTTGATATACCGCTTGTGTTTCGTATAACATTCAATGTTAGACACCAAGTAGAAAAGTAGAAGAAAATAAATGTTCTCCATTGTTGTTTCATCGAGGCGTCGAAACGATTCTGGTTAAATCACGATGAAGAACACATAATTTATGATAATAGATGATCCTCTCTCTCTTACCACGAACAAAAGATTTTAATCTATCGAGTTCTTTCCTTCTATTCAACCTTTATTTATCTTTACGTTTTAAATTTTTGTTCACGATGATTTAAAAAAAAAAAAAAGCGGAATTTTTCTTATCCACCCTTTTTATTACCACGAAAAGATTTCGATCATGTTGTTTATTAGAATAATCGTATATCTATGTATTTGATAATAAATCGTTTTTTTTTTATTTTACAGATAGGTATATGTTATAGTTTATCAACCGATATTTTTATAAAAAATAATCGTTCAAAAATATTCACTAAAATTCCCCTTTCATATAATTCAAGGATACGATTTTTATTCTAATTTTAGTTTACGACTTGTGTTTCATTGTGAAAGAGTTCAGGGTATAGAATTATGAAGATCATAAATAGCGTTCTCCTTCCTTCTTCTCCATTTCGTAGCACCCTATAATACATGGATTTCAAGGACATCTGTTATCCAGTCGATTGGAAATAACAGAAGGAATTTCGAATTTTCTTCAAGGATCTTTCATTTTGTTTATTCTTCAAGTTATAAGGAATAACATATAGAGATCTATTACAGTTAGTAATTTATTATAATAAAATAATAAGGTTTGTAGAATATAGAAAAAAAAGGAAATGTCTTGTGTATGTAACAAACGACTATTACGATACCCTAAGGAGATCTTATTGATGGCGCTTATCGCCACCCATGTCGATCGTCGATGAACCCGAGCTTTTCTACTACCTTCCCACACGAAGTGGCAGTTTTGGGATCGATAGATCATTCCAATAGAGTTTTGCTAATTCTACTCACGCTTTCCTATCTCCTCACGTAGGCGTATGGTGTTAGCCACGTCAAGATGGATAGATCACGACTACGCAATGCACAATGACTTAGAACTTTTTAGAAATGAAAAAAAATTAAAATAAAGAAAAAGAAACGTCATATATTTCTTTCAGCGGATAAAAGAAACGATACATTTATTAATTATTCCGACCGTCGGCTAAACGTCTTAATAAAAATTTGAAAAACAGCTTTTTTTTTACTATTTATTTTTCTTTCATTTTCATTCCAAAGATCCGGGAATACATATTTTATCTGTAGCTAATATCTAAATTATTCGTTTGAATAAACTAACTTGTATAATTGTATAATTAGTTACTAATTATAAAATAAAAAGACTGTATGACATTAATGAATAAAATAATTTAGATATACAAAGATTGTGAAATCATTTCGTGTAATCC